CAGAAGTACTTAATAGAGATGACCGACAAAGTACCAGCCATGTCCTGGAACTGTTACACCCCCGAGGAGGACAAGCCCACGAAAGTGGGCATACGGGGACTACCAATGGGCACGGATCAATCCGCGATAGAGGGGGCATTCAGGGCTAAGGGGTTCCCGATTAAGTACGTGAAAGGGATGCCCCCCGTAGAAGCAGACCTGGGTGCCTCTACTTCGCGCAGCTGGACCACCTGAGCCTGGAGCGCCTCAACGAGCTTTATCAGATCAACGAGCTCCTCTTCATGAGAGGAGTCGTCATAGAGGCCTGGCAAGGAAGAGCTGGCCCATCACAGTGCCACCGCTGCCAGGCCTTTGGCCATGCATCCACTATTGCTTCAGGCCAGTGAAGTGTGTTCGCTGTGCCGGAGATCACATCGCCAGCAACTGCCCAAGGGGTAGGGATGAAGAACCGCGATGCGCTAATTGCGCTAAAAACCATACTGCCAATGATCGCTGCTGCCCAGTCCTGAGGAGGATTGCAAGGAAGCAGGGGATAGCTCTACCGGGTTTACTCCCGGAAAAGCCTAGAAGAGTCCCCCAGAGTCGTCCCAGGGCCGTAGTCCAGGAAGATGGGTGGACTACAATAAGAGGAAAGGGAAGGCAACCTGCCCCCCCCTCCACCCGTCTCGGCACCCACAGAAACGGTGGTGCCGATCACCCTTACATCAAAGGCAACCACCGGGGCGACTCTCCGCCGCCCCGCTAACGACGCAATTGAGCCCCAAACCTCACAGAGGAGTAAGCGGGGGAGGAAGAAGAAGAAGAAGATGCAGCCTCCTCCTCAGGCAGCAACTTCTACCCCAACCCCAACGGTAACGATAGCCCAGGCGCAGGTTACCAAGGATAAGAAAACTAGAATGGGTAGAGTGCCAGAAAGGGCTCTATCTGAAAATAGAGCCCGCTCTACATATAGAGCGCGCTCTACCCACACACAAAGACCAGTGCAACAACACCCGAGATCAGTGCCAACGCCTTCACAGGCTACGAGAATACCATCAGCCGGCTTCGAGACCGCTGACGCCATCCAGCGCTTGGTTGGCATAGCGATCGAAGTCGGCAGTCAGGTCCTGGCAGACATCAGAGCCGGGACTGATCCTATAACAGCGGTGATGAAGGCGCTGGCAAACCTCCTGGCTCGGCACTATGGAGGAATCTAACCTGCGCCTCCTCTACTGGAATCCAGGTGGAATCCAGCAGAAGCTACAAGAACTCCGCACTGTCGCCCAACAACAAGACATACAGGTCATCTTGCTGGGAGAGACAAAATTAAATCCGAGTACACACGTAAAGCTGCCTAATTACCATATTAATAGGAGGAACGAGGTCACTTCCCAAGGGGCCGCCTATAGAGGGACGGCGGTTCTAGTGAGAAGGGACATCGTCCATCAAGAACTTAACCTACCGGAGTACCAAACTATGCGCTCTATCGGCATAAAAATGGAGGCGGCGGGCGAGGAACTTAGGATCTACACAGCATACCGCCCGCCAGGGTCTCCATTGTGCTCCTCAGACGTGCGGACGGTGATGGAAGGCGAAATATCGACCATCATCGCCGGGGACCTAAACACCAAACACCCGGCGTGGGGATCCAGACTGATCAACCCGCCGGGTCATGCACTTTTTGAAGACGCCGAAAGACACGGCTATGACGTTTTAGGTCCCGAAGAACCCACTCATGTTCCGACGGACCCACGAAGTCGTCCGGATGTATTGGGCATCATGCTTGCTAGGAACATCAACTACCCGATAGTGGTAGAGGTGCTGTACGACCTGGATTCACAGCACCTCCCGATATTAATTACCCTTGGCCTAAAGGCGGTGACTACGCCGCCCAGAACAGTTAAGATACGTGTCGACTGGAGGCTCTGCCAAAAACACCTGCAGGAGAGACCTCCAGCACACAACCCCTTAAACACAGCGGACGACGTAGAGGCCGCCGCTACCAATATGACAAAGGCGATACAGGAGGCCCTCAACGCTGCCTCTACGATCGTCCCGATGTCAACAAGGAGAGACGATCTGCCGCTACAGATTAGCGTGCAGATCAGGAGAAAAAGGGCGTTAAGGAGACTCTGGGCGCGTACTCGCTGCCCGAGAATCAAGACGCTACTTAACACCTTATCGGAGGAACTGTCGGTTGCAGTCCAGGCACACAGAGGAGATGCCTGAGAGCGACGCATATGGAAGGCGGAAGAGCATGATGCGTCGCTCTACAAACTGAACCGACAGTTAACTAAAGCCAAACCTCCCGTTTGCCCGCTGACCAACAACGCGGGCGAACGTCGTTATGATGCCAAGGGTAGAGCGGATATCCTAGTAGAGCACTTCGAGGGGCAATTTATGCCGAACCCAGCAAGTGCGGTAACCCGCCTGCAACCGAGGAAGGGCACGATGGGATTACCAACGCTGCACTCCGACAGCTGCCCCATAGAGTCCTAGTAGAGCTTGGTCGACTCTACAATGGGATGTTGCGGACATCCCACTTCCCGGAGGACTGGAAGAAAGGCAAAGTGATCGTCTTGCCGAAACTCGGGAAGGACAGGCGTAGAGCTGCCAGCTACAGGCCGATCACGCTGCTACAACACATAGTTAAACTGCTTGAAAGATTGTTGCTAAGACGCCTCCGTCCGTGCATCCAACATCGGGCGGAGCAGCACGGATTCAGGAGGGATCACTCTAAAGCAACACAGCTGACCAGAGTGCTGCACCTGCTTGCGGCCGAATACAACCGTGGCCGCCCTACGTTGGGCGTCTTTCTCGATATCGAGAAGGCGTTCGACAGGGTGTGGCATTCTGGACTACTTTATAAACTAGAAGAACAGACCAGTGTCCCTCCTGCTATGCGCTGTCTTGCCTGGCAGACAGGAAGTTCTACGTCTGCGTAGAGGGCGCCGAGTACGCAACCAGAACCATCAGAGCCGGCGTTCCTCAGGGCAGCTGTTTGTCTCCAGTCCTGTACGCGGCTTATACCAACGATATCCCTACCCTGGCAGGAAGGCTGCAAGAGTGGGAGGTAACGTGGAATTGGCGTTATACGCGGACGATAGCGCTTATTTCACCTCGTCCAGAAGAGCCCACGTTGCCACTGCCAGGGTGCAACGTCTGCTGGACTTGCTGCCACCATGGCTAGATGAGTGGAGGATGGTCGTCAACGTTGGTAAGACGACCGCTCTACTCACTCGCCGCCTCAGGAACCTACCACCTCAGCTAACCCTCAATGGCCAGAAGAGCGCGGACGAGAAGGCCGTGACCTACCTTGGGTGCCGGATCGACCGGGTGCTGCGCATGACTGCGCACGTCGACCTCGTCGCAGAGCACGATGTGCGCGGGCGATGCTCCGTCCGGTCCTGGCATCCAAGTTACCACTTAAAACAAAAGTGCGAGTACAAAATGTATATTAGACCCATTATTACGTATACTGCTCCGGCCTGGTACGCGCTTCTGAGCGAGCCTCTGAGGCGGCGACTGCAGGCCCAGCAAAATCTGACGTTAAGAACCATCGCCGGTGCGGGTCGCTACGTCCGGAATGACGTCATAGCGGCCAACCTGAAGATTGACACCACCCAGGAGTTTGTGGCCCGGTTGGCGCGCGGACTTTTCGATCGTGCAGACGACGGGCCACACATACATCTTAACCAACTTGCGCTGCTACACACTCGCCCTCCGGACGGGCGACCCTATCCAAGAGAACTCCTCTCTATATCGATTAGAGAGTCGAGTAACAACCCTCAATGCCGCTGATAGGCCAACTCCGACTTTATACTAGATAACCTCCTTTTTCCTCGTAGTCGGTTAACTACGGGAAAAACTTTACCAATTACGGACAAACCTGTATAACATCCAACAACGCCAATAGAAGGCTCCCAGGACCGGTCCATAGTGGTGGATCGCGAGGATAACACGGGTAATGGGGGCATACCCCGAGGCCCGAACCCTGCATGACACAGTGGTGCATGTAGACGACAATCAACGCGCGCCTGCACTCGGCCAACTAGGCAAGCGCCGACGAGCAATGGCGAGGCTGGACAAATGGGCAGTCTATACGTTGGTGTTCGCCTTCGCTCGGCCAACATGTATAGTCGGCTTTAGAGTTTTATGTCATTTCTCTTGCCTATTTCGCGTTGCTATTGGCAACAGGTGTGTTATTGATAACTTTTAAATTGTTTATACTTTTTGTGTAAGTATTGAATGTTGTAAAATTACTTATAAACATAAAAATCCAAACTACTTTCTAATATATTATGACAAAAGCAAGTGATCATATCACTTGCTTGAAAATTTGTTAATTTGAGTCCGAATATATATAAAATATATTGCAAATTTGTTACCTTTTGATTTTACTTGAATTTACAAGAAAATATACGGTAGGTAAGTAACAAAATTTACAGAACAATTCATAATTTCTCTATCTACAAAAAATAACAACAATGTACCAATTAAAAGGCCACGTACATTCCCGATCGACGGCTCGTCTTAACCGCGGTCTTGGTGGCCGTCCGTAAAGCTCGTAGGTGGATCATCGCAAAACCGCGGTTTTGTGAGGTGATGCACCAGGCTTGCGGCTCTTGTGGGAGCAATAATGGCTAAGTTCAATTAACGAGACGAGGTTTTCCTCCGACAGTTTCGTGATCATTGTTTAAAGTTCTTCAGAATACAGATCTGCTCTTAATTGTTACTGATACAACGAATTCTAAAGAGCTATAGTGAATTACACCATGAAGTGAAGTGATCACTAAAGATGTCATGCATGGGACCTCTCCAAGGATCAAATCAATATGTATTATGCTGCCAACCTAACTTTGTGTTCACTCCCTAAAGTAAATCTATTAAGTCAAAAGAAATATCGATGTTATACTTTGGTTTCTATTCAATGTCATAATTGCAAGAATAATTAATGATAAAAATTCCTTATTCATTCATGACATTTGAATGAACTTATAATAAATCTGACTTAGCTCGAAATGCCAGCACGGGAAGCACCAAGCGTGGAGCTTGGTTCGGCACCCCGAACCCCCAGCGTTGTTGCTTCTCCTTCACCTTCAGAGATATCGAGCACAAGTTCGCCTGAACCACAGAACATTCGAACAACGCCTTTGTTCAGGTAAAACCGAAGCGTCTTTATTAACGCTGAATTGTAATTTAACTTATACTCGTATTTTTGTATATTTTGCGTAGTTTCTTCTAGACCTATTGAAATATTCAATCAAAGTTTTTTTCACTTACTACTACTATCTATATGTATGAATTTATAAGTTTTGGGTCACTCCATTTGGAACATTCTCTGTTACTTTTAGGCACACAAATATTATATATACCTACAAAAAAAAAAAAACTACATTAAAAGGAACAGTCTGTATTAATAAAATAGTTCAACTGCGTAGTTTGTATGTGTACAAATTGCGCAGTTGAACTTATGGACCACACACACGGTCAGTTCAACTGGTCATTTCAAATGATCAGTTCAAACTAGGACTGTTCATATTTTTTAAAATATCGGATTTTCGATATATCGATAATTATAAATATATCAATATCGGAGTTTTATATATAAGTTTATTTATCAATATATAGAAAATCTGGTATTTTAAAAAATATCAACAGTCCTAGTTTAAACTGATCATTTGGAATGATCAGCTGAACTGACCGTGTGTGTCGTCCATTAGTTTTACATTCATATTCAGTCAGGTTATAATTAATTTGATAAATTTTTGCCTGACGATAAAAAAATCGGCCCTATATAGATAGATAGACTTCACTTCTTAGATAAGTTATTTATCTAAGAAGCAACTCGAAGAAATGTCAGAAATTACTTGAAACATAAGTTATATTCGCGTCATTCTTTATATAAAACTTTACGCTAATATTTCCGAGAACTAAATTCTTGATTTTGCGATTCCATTACATACTTCTGTAAGGTTTTGCCTTGTCTAGAAGTATAGAGACTTAAATATTGGTGGTTAAGCGTTGTTAAAAAGAAGAAGATATAATCTGGCAATTATGAGCTACAGTAAGTATGTAATTAAAACGTATCTTCAACCAATCAAGTTTATTCGATAGACGTTACAATTTATTTATTCGGATAGGAAAGGTAGCAAAGCTATAAGTGAAATTTTCATAAGCCTGAACGAAATCAGGAAAAATAACATGATGCTATATTATAAGATTGTATTACATATGTATGAAGGATGATTTTATCTAATAGCTTATATTAATAGCAACGTTATATAAAATGTTAAATAACAATCAACCACTATGATAAAAATGTTAACAGAGCTTTAGCAATGCCACCGCCCGAACCTGAACAGCCTCCAGGACAGGATGAGCTAGAGCGTCGGCTACCCGGGTACAGGCGAATTGTCATTCCAAGGGAACTTACGTTAATCGAACTATTGGTATGTACTATCCCTTTCCTTACTATTTTATTATGAATATATAACTTATTAAACCACTCTACGTAATTTTATCTCCATTGAAATTGAAGGGTAATTAAATATCGAACGAAGATATTTTGTAAAATTTTAGCAGTATGTGCAGCTTTAATCGCGAAGATATAGAAGAAAAAAAGAAAATGCATTTATTTGCCAGAAATAGGCGAACACATTAAATTTATAAACAGATATAATAGAGAATTAATTTATCAAATACAGTATAAAACAAGAATTCTAATTCATGTAAGTAAAACTTAAATAAAGTTTAAAACATAAAACAAATGTAACAAAAAATGGAAATTTTATGCCTCATTTCTTACTAACCGATGCAATACTGATTTTCAGTGCTAGCCTCAGTGACATAAAATACAGATATTAATAATATTGTTACGAGCTTGAGGTTCGTGACAATAAAAATTGCCGATAGAATTACCTAAATTAACACTTTAATTTTCTTTACACCAATTAAAACTTAAAACACTAAAAATTAATTACACTGATTCACTTTATGTCGCTCCAAAGTTTCGCTTGTCTCGCCAAATTCAATATTTCCCCGATGGCATCTTGCAGCGCCTATAAATACAAATTAGCACCGAAACATCCAGAATATTCAAGTAAACACGCGCAAGGCGTCGAGAGTTCGAGTGTCAGCTTCTAGAAGCTTAGTTCTTCGTTTCGAGACTAGATGGCGCTGTCGGTTGAAAGATTAGTGATGTCATTTTCTGGAAAGCTCCCCTCGCTCTCGTTCCTGACACTAGATGGCGCTAGTGCCGGGTACATGACGTCGACTTAGGCGCGTAACACTGCCCCCTCCTAAGACATGCTCGTCCCGAGCATTATCGGACCCATAATAACGCGCCAAGCGATCCGCATGGACGATCTTAGGAGTCCCTCTTGCGCCTTTCTGTAACGGCTCCGCAATGTCAAGGGCTGTCCTATCCCGTGGTGCACCAACATTGTAGAATTTCGATGCTCCTCTACTACGTGTCTGAGGTCCCCTTACAGCCGCACAACTTGTACATGTACGACACCAATCCTCGACATCGTCACGATAATGGACCCAGTAAAACCGTTCTCGGACCTTCAGTAGAGTTCGTTTAACTCCCAGATGGACTCTTGAACGACCATTATGGCACAGCTGTAGAACATTCAGCACTTTAACTTTAGGGACAACCATTTGCAAACGACAGCTGTCTCCTCGACCATTGTCCCATTTACGGCACAGGACTCCATCCTGAATCAGCAAGCTGTCCCATTGGGCGCAATAGCTCTTAGTGGTTGAACTCATCGCTGAGACGTCCCTCCACTTATGCTTGGTAGCACGGGCCTTCATTCATTCCAGAATCGGCTTGATGTCCGGATCTTCCTGCTGTGCATGTCGTAGCCTGTCCTTCCACTCGTTGGGTGGTCTGTCCTGAGCATCCTCACGGATACCACTTCCTTACTCTTTTGCCTAGTACAATGTTTCCAATCTTCATGACAAGGTATTCTTGGCAATGCATCTGCGTTGCCATGAGATTTCCCGCTGCGATGTCTGATAGTAAAGTCGTATCCCGGCTGCTGCTGGGCGGTGATGTTAGCCGCCTTCCCTTCTGAGATCGTTCACCTTCCCTTTCTAGGGTTCACTTAGGGCAGCTGGATCGAAGATGGCCCGTTTCCCCACAGCCATAGCACCTAGGGCTGTATCCTTTATTGTGGTCGCGAACCGTAACTGCTGCAACCTCCCTAACGTGAGGGGAACGATGATCCTGACGCCGCCAGGCGGTGCCGTTAGCTGCACTACTCTCTCGAGATCGATCAACTTCCCTTTCTACGGTTCGCTTAGGGCAGCTGGATCGAAGATGGCCCCTTTCCCCACAACCATAGCACCTAGGGCTGTATCCTTTGTTGCGGTCGCGAACTGTAGCTGCTACAACCTCCCTGACGCGATGGGAACGATGAGCCTGCCGCACGGCTTCCACCTCCAGTGCATGGGCCAAGGCGTCCTTAAGCGTCTCGTGGTGCCCGAGCCTCACAGCAGCTCTGACTTCCAGGTCGCGGATGCCGTCAATGAATCTCTGCACCAGGTTCCCCTCAATGAGCGCGGGTACAGACCGGTATGCTTTTCGCACCAGCTTCTCCACCTCTAGAGCCCACTGCTGCAGGTTTTCGTTGTAACCATATGCTCCGCGATATCGTAGCCAGCCAGCGAGCGCAGCCATATCTCGCCTCCAATGCCTCAAGGAGTTTCTCGTAAGTCACTTCCTCACCGAGAGCTTCCAGAACTGTTAAGGCCTGGTCGCGCAGGCCTAGTGTGAGAGCAGTCATGGCCTGACTTTTATTCCAGCCGTTCGCCTTCATAACAGCTTCGAACTGGATTTTGTAGGCCGACCAGGAAGAAGTCCCGTCGAACGGTGGCACGTTGAACCCACATAGCGAAGGTGTTGCAGCTACTCCGGGAGCTGTAATTCCATCCCCCAGTTTGAGTTCGTCCAGTGATTTCTTCATGTCAGCCATTGCGTTATCAACCCGATTATTTACTTGGTCGATTCGGGTTTCAGCTTACGACAGGCGGTTGTCATGTTAAGCAAACTTATCCTTCACCTCCCGTATCTCTTTTCCGAAGGTAGCGTGAAGGTCCTTCATGAGGAGCATCTGCTCTTCCAACCGACGGGCCTGTTCCTCCTGTCGGCGGGCCTGTTCATCCTGTCCGCCCCGCAGCTGCTCTTCCAACCGACGGACCTGTTCCTCCTGTCGGCGGGCCTGTTCATCCTGTCCGCCTCGCAGCTGCTCTTCCAAACGACGGACCTGCTCCTCCTGTTGTCGGGCCTGTGCATCCTGTCGGCGAGCCTGTTCCTGCAACATCACCATCAGAGCACCTAAGTCGGGTGCTGCAGATGTAGGAGCTACTGACGGGCCTGCAGCCGGTGGCTGGCCCTCCGACGTCTGCGGCGTTGCACCACCAAATCTTCTTAGGTCCGTCTCCTGCTGGCGTTGACTTCGGGCACGGACACCCTCCGTTTCCTCCTTAGGTAAAATCGGCATGATTTGATCCCACTTCCGACACCAATTGTTACGAGCTTGAGGTTCGTGACAACAAAAATTGCCGATAGAATTACCTAAATTAACACTTTAATTTTGTTTACACCAATTAAAACTTAAAACACTGATAATTAATCACACTGATTCACTTTATTTCGCTCCGAAGCTTCGCTTGTCTCGCCAAATTTAATACTTCCCCCGATCGCATCTTGCAGCGCCTATAAATACAAATTAGTACCGAAACATCCAGAATATTCTAGTAAACACGCGCAAGGCGTCGAGAGTTCGAGTGTCAGCTTCTAGAAGCTTAGTTATTCGTTTCGAGACAAGATGGCGCTGTTGGTTGAAAGATTAGTGATGTCATTTTCTGGAAAGCTCCCCTCGCTTTCGTCCCTGACACTATATGGCGCTAGTGCCGGGTACATGACGTCGACTTAGGCGTGTAACAATATGTACGAATCTTGAATTTTGACATGTAGACTTTGTGGCTCAAAACATTTTGGAAAAGGCGACGTTTATCGTATATATGATTTGTTTGTTCGCTTGTAGCAACGACTTTACCGCCATATCGGCCCCCTGCCCAGATTGAAGATCGATGATGAAGACCAGCTATCGACATAGGTTCATTTCAGGTATTTGAGTATTAAGGCTCAGAGACGTGCCGAATGCAGACAATGTTTTCTCGGGAGAAAATAGAAGGGATTCTTGAGGACGAACGCTTGAAGTCGAAGTTTTATACGTGGTAAAGCCAGGCTACAGCTATATTATGGCCAGGAAAGGGCCACGCTCTCACAGAGTACCAGCATAAAATAGCACCTTAATACTGTTATTTTCGTATGGTGAATGTGTATCCGGAGACCCTTTTTTACTGGAAACGAGGCATTCCGTTTTAGTCCTCAGGGATGACAACGCTTCTGCGTTTTGATTCTTAATCGAGGACAAATGTAGATATCTATGGGCCACGGCATCCACTTACCATCAGGTGGACTGTGTGCTTGTTTGTCACCCTTTCAGTGTGATAGTATGGAGCTATTTTATATAACTAGTATTTTGGAAATTTTGATAGCACAACTATTTTCTAATTGCGATAAAAAATAAAAGACTTATTGGTTGAAATAATTATTTACTATCGTTATTAAACATAACATAAAATAAAATAAAAATAATAATTGTAATTTGTAATAAAAGGAAATCTCCTTCTTACAAAAATTTTAATTTCGCGAGAGATTGTCCACGAACCATAATGACCTTTCCTTCAATATTCCTTTTGAAATTTGTAAAATTTTGTTTATTATTCTTACAAACAATGCTGATGGGAAGTGATTATATTGCCGAAGAAGGGAAGGGGGAAGCCTATGATCAGCAGTGGAAAGCCCTACTAAAAGTAAAAAAGTGGGAGCCTAAGTATATCCCACTACTGGGCACAGTCCACAACGAGTTTGGTCAAAAAGGAGTTGGAAATTGAATCTAACGCTGGATGACCGACTTCACATACCTATATCTAAAAATGATTTCCGAAATATTTTTTTAACATATCAGGTATGCAGATTTCCTGCAATGTTTTTCTTCATTGCCGAGAACGTGGTAATTAACGTTGTGATCGGTTTGATTACAAGCTTATACAGATGACTTCCAAGATTCTATAAGTGCAGTTCTGCTAATAGTTAAAATAAAAATAACGTATTTAAAATATGCTTTCTTTGATATTTATCCGAAAATATGAAAGCTATCTTAATATATGACAAACTGCTTTATAAATCTCATTAAAAGTAAAAAATGCTGGATCAACGGTATCACGAACTATTCCACCAATTATGGATATAAATCTCATAGTGCATTTAATTTTCAATTTCTTATATCGGACTTGATACAAAAAGAAATTGGTGAAATATTGCTATGCCGATAGACACACAAAATATTCAACTAAAGACCTTCTCTCTTAA